ACTGAATACTACATTGAAATAAAACTGTCTAACAATGCTTCACTAAAACTGAATACTACATTGAAATAAAACTGTCTAACAATGCTTCACTAAAACTGAATACTACATTGAAATAAAACTGTCTAACAATGCTCACTGAAACTGAATACTACATTGAAATAAAACTGTCTAACAATGCTTCATTAAAACTGAATACTACATTGAAATAAAACTGTCTAACAATGCTCACTGAAACTGAATACTACATTGAAATAAAACTGTCTTACTGACATTCCACCAGCTCAATACTCATTTGCCATACACTGCTCGCTAACTGCAATTAAATGGTCCAGTTGTATTTATATTTAATTCTTGTCCTAGATATTTCGCAAATCCTCTCGATCATCATTACAACCAGCAGCAACCAGTTTCAACATTAAAAACATAGCCTACTACAGTATTAAAGTAATTGAGATTTAAGTCTTCAACTGACCTCAGTGACCCTTAATTTAATGTTATATTTTACCTAATTGTATACAAATATATACATATCGTTCACGTTCAGAAAAAACTATTGTATGTATATTTACTTTAAGATAGCCGTTTCACTGAGTGCACATTTTTATAACACTAATTTTGAGATAAAAGACTTCAAATTACCATTGTATCAGACACTACATTTCGTTTATGTCATGTTCTATATATTTCTAAGCAAAATACGCAATTTTGTAGATACTGAAATAAATTTAAAACTTAAGATAAAACATTCTAATTATAATAGCTTTAACATTTGATTCTCCAAATTAATTCAATTTTTTTCTTTTATCCGCTTAAGAGATTTTTTAATTATGTTGGAAGAATAATTGTAAATCATATATATCTATTAATAACTTCGTGTAAAAAACTATAATTGTGCGTTACAGAAATTAATATGAAATGTGAAAGCTAAGCGACCAACACAATTAATACGTAAAATAGTTTATAATAATTCCAAAAGCACATAATGCAGAATCATACTACCAATGAGGTTTATGTAAAAGTTTATTGTTTTCAACACAAGCTTCCCTAAAAACTTTATCATAAAGCGTGAAGCATTTAAATGTTGATCTATAAATACAAATTAATACAAACAAGGCCTGCTGAATATCATATCATTTTTTTCACGTTTTATACTATTATTATTACTTACTAACAACTAAGCAAATAAACAGAAAAAAGGGTTCTATGGATGAGTAAAAAACTTTGATTTTCACACATTGTTGCAGACCTTGGCAGTGTCACATATAAGAAAGATTTAAGTTTTATATGAGTTTCAGTGCGTGCATATTTTCTAGATGAAAGTAGCTAATCACCTGAATGTTTTTAGCTATAAAAATTCAATTTGTTACTCACCTGTGCCAACAACCGACTCTGGAAGAGCCAGGACACCACTGCCAGCCATCTCTCCAGCTACAAATACTGCAGTAGTTAAAACTGACATGCCTACCATTCTGCTTCCACTTGTTGTCCGGATTTCCTTGGAAGTTGCAGACTGTGTATGAAGTAATGATTTTCCTTCATCATTCATTTTTCTTCGGATAAATAATATTAGATCTATCTTGCTCAACGTTAGTTTTCTTTAGAATATAATTCAGTCACTTGTTTATTTAATTGTTCTGATCCGAAACAAACTTTTAAAGTGTTTTTTTCCACAGTCTGTCTATATCATAATAATAATAAAAAATCCTTAAATTTTATTTCAAGTGTCACAGTCATTTGCTACTTCCCTTTTCCACGCGGCTCTCATATTCTTCAATGCAACGAGTTTTAACTGCTACCCAAAGCTGGAATAGTGTTTAATATGCTCTTCAAGCAGAGATCTATAACTGAATAAGTTTTATTTTGGAGTGCTTTGTTAATATTTTATCGGAGTGATAACATTACAATCACAAATATGTATTGACATCACTGACAGAATTCATTGTACAAACATCTATTGTGCTTCGTCATACACATTTAGCGACATGATTAAGTATCTTGTACTTTATATAGATACGTACTTGACACCTAGCTTTGGTTTTAGAACAATTACTAGACCACTCACTATTCAGAGGTTATGAAGAATTCAAGCTAATTTCAATATTGCACCGAAATGAAGGCTTATTTGAGATAATTTAATTAAATATTTCAATCATTCATTTTATTCATAATTCAAGAAAATATATTTGATTGTTGATCGGGAGTGAAAGGAAAGACCATTTGAAGTAAGAAGTTTCGTAAAGAGCGCGAACGGTAGTGTGAATGATTTTTTGACTAAGAAAATAAGCAAACAAACAATCTCAGAGTTTTAGTAGTATATATAGATAGATTCTTCAAGATCTTGTTTTTGTCATCTTATGCCTTTTAATGAAGATGGGAACATTGACAGGGAAATAATATAATAGCCAATGCTCAGCTATTTCGTTTATAAAATTTTGTTGTTGTTCTCGAATTGATTTTTATTTTATTACCTCGTCTCCATAGTTGCAAATAGTCAATAATATTATAGGTCCATTTTATTGTTGTTCTTTCTACACGCTGTTATAACACATTATTATCTCAATATTTAATTTCTGTTGTGTATATATATTGTTGAATAGAATATATTTTCAAGTGATTCATCAGGTGGAAAACGAAGTTTTATAATAATGGAATGTACTCGTCGAGAGCGAAGTTATCGAGATTGTGAATCTGGTTTAATCAAGAAAGGACTTGTATCGCTGAAGATCCTCAGAAAGAATTTCTACAGGAAACAAACAAACAAGTAGATACGTAACAAACTGGTGTCAGAAAGTGGGGCGGAAAAGAAAAAAAGATGGAAATGAGAAGTATCAAATCAAACTACAACTTAGCAGATTTGATGGCAGAAATACAAGAACAGCAAACTAAACAAGAAGAGAGAC